TTTGCTTTTGTGATTAGTAAAGGACGCTCAAAAGATTAAAAAAAAGACAGAATTACGGTACTTTTCGAGAGGTTTTTTGTTTATTTGCGAATTGGTTGGGGTTTTTATTTGAAATCTCTAAAGCTACTTTCTTCAATCATTCTTTAATCTTTTTCATCAAATATCCAATTTTTGTCATTTTAATGACCTCAATTCAAGCGGAATCTTGTTCAATCATCAAATAATCATCAAATTCATCACATTTTGAATTTTGATGCCAATTTTGATCCCATTTTTCTCAAAAAAGATCTCTTAAATAAAATCCACCAAAAAATTTAAAAAAAATTCTTTTCATGTTTCATTTCCATTTTTGAATGATTGGATTAAGACAAGGCAAACTAAAAGGAAGAAAGAAAGAAAGAAAGAAAAGAAAGAAAGAAAGAAAGAAAAGAAAGAAAGAAAGAAAGAAAGAAGAAAGGAAAGAGAAGAAAGGAAGAAGAAAGAAATTCTTTTTATTTTTAAAGTCAATTCATTTCTTAATAAGATTATTTAAAAATTTTAAAACCTTAACTGATTCTTCTAAAATCTAAAACTCCTTTAAAACTAAATTTGATTTATTCTAAAATTTGCTATCTAAACAGTTCTGATATTCTGAAGCTATTTAATGACATTTAATGCTTGAAGATAATCCAGGAGTGATCTACTCCTTCAATTTTTAAACTAATGGAGTCAAATTGTTGAGCTTTTTGTCACGTTTCTTTCGAAAAATGTTATTTTATTCTTTTCAAAGTAATTTACAGCTATAAAAAGTCCATTGAATTTAGTTCAAAAATGGAAAGGAAATCAAAAAACCAGAAAAAAAGAGTTCCAGGTAATCCAGGTAATCCAGTAGATCTAGTCCTTCAATTTTAAAACTAATGGAGTCAAATTGTTGAGCTTTTTGCAAGTTTCTTTAGAGAAACGTTATTTCATTCTTTTCAAAGTAATTTAAAGCCATAAAAAGTCCATTGAATTTTGTTCAAAAATGGAAAGGAAATCAAAAAAATGCTTTCCCCTTTCATCAAAAAAACCAGAAAAAAAGAGTTCTTCCAGTTGAACGAATGACGAGGATAAAAGAAAAGAAATGAAAGATTTGATGTAAAAGAGAAAAGAAGCCGATTGTCTTTTTTATCGAAGAGACAGAGCATATTCCATATTTTTGAGTGGCCGCTTCCGTCCCTCCATTCCTCCGTTTAACCCCATTTGTGCCCATTTCTTTTTCTTGTCCCTTCTTTTTTATGCTTGTGTTCCTTCAAAACACCTTTCCTCACTTTTCCTCACTTTTCCTCACCTTTCCCCTCTTATTTTTCAATTCTTAAAGTGTGTCCCTTCAAACTCCATTCTCCTTCTTTTTTGAAAAACTCTTGATTCAATTTGCTTCCGGGTCATTTGACAATCTTTTTCAGATTCAATGTTAATTTAAGCATTAATAAGAATTAGGTGACCAATACTTATCTCGGTGTTAGCTTTATCTATGATATTTTGGATACTTGTGAATTTTCGTTTGGCTACGTGCCTACAAAGGATCAACTTTGAATATGAAATGACTATGAAATTGAAAATGAAATTGAAATGAATAGGAAAGCATATTAAGAATTGAATAAAGCTAATAGAGCTAATAAAGCCAATAAAGCCAATAAAGCTAATAAAGCTAATAAAGCTAATAAAGCTAATAAGGCTAATAAACCTAATAAAGCTAATAAAGCTAATAAAGCTAATAAACCTAATAAACCTAATAAAGCTAATAAACCTAATAAAGCTAATAAAGCTAATAAACCTAATAAAGCTAATAAAGCTAATAAAGCTTTCAAAACTATCTAAACTTATATGAATCTTTCTTTACCATTCTTAATATTATTGCATATTTGATCAATCTCAATATTCTTTCCACAGCTTGATATCTTGCTTACAAGCCTTTTAGACAATGATTTTCAAACAAAGACAACAATGCTAGTAGTTTATATCGAAATTAAATTGATCCTCAAGTATCTATCTTTATTTTTATGTCTTCAAATCCTCATTTTCACCCATTTCATCCATATTGCCATCGATTAATTCAAAATTTTACATCTTTTCCAATATCTGCTATCTTCTTGTAAACAAGCTTTTCCAAAAAAAAACTCAAATGTTGTTTTCTTGAAAACTTTTCTCTTTCAAAAGAAGTTCTTACAAGTTTTGAATTTCTTTTCGACAAGGAAATCTTGGGAAGTTTCAGTGAGAGTGAGAAGGAGGATTGGGGGGAAAAGGAGTCTCTTTTATGTTTCCCATTTTGTCTTTTTTTCTTTTCTCTTTTCTTTTCAACTAGATCTGATTCCCTTGGGACAATCCCTCACCTGGACCCTTCTCCAATTCTGACTATGAGATTTTTGGGAACAAGACGATTGAGCTAGATTTTGCTGACTCGACCAGGATTTCTGGACTACGGCTTCAAGATCTGCAATCTTTCCATAAAGCAATGAAAGCTAGGTTAGTGGCAAAGCCAGGCCAAAGCTGGAAGGGCATTAGCCTGGCTTCTTCCCGTAGTAGTAAAACCAGGAATGGGCACGATCAAAACCTGACTTTCTCTGGCTGAATACTCCAATCCAAATCGGTCATTATATCGTTGTCGATCTCTTTCACTACCTATTTAGATTCAACTCGTTTCAGCTTGCCTCCTTTCCTCTGTCCATTCCCAATCCCCTTTCCCCTCTCTAGGGACAATCACTCACCAAAGTCTCAACCTTTTTCTTCTCTTTTCTTTTCCCTAAAACCCAAAAAAGAATGAATCCCCTTCTGTTTTCGTCCTCTTTTCTCTATTCTATCTGTTGCTGAAAGTTGAGTCGAGTTTTTTCTTTTCTTTTTCCTTTAGCAATGTTCATTTCTCTTCTCATTTCCAAAAACAAATGAACAAAAAAAAAGAAAAACGTGTAAACTTTCATAAAAAAATCCCCCGATTTGGTCTCCTTTTTGAATTATTAAAGTTTCATTGGCCAACTCTTTGGTCAATGAAACTTTAAACGAGTCTATGGGGTTTATTCGAAGCTTTTTTGGAAAGTATTCCTTAACAATCTTACATTGTTTAGCTATTGGGTTGGGGAGAAAGGGGCGGCGCCCAAAATTAAAAAGGGGTTTTTTCCCAAAAAAACCCTCCTTTTACATACTTTTTTTTTTTTCCAAAAAAAACCCCCCATCTCTCTACAAAAAAAAAATTTTGAAAAAAACCCCAAACTTTTTGGTGTTTTTTTAAATCAAACCCAAAAAAAAAAAAAAAAAAAGAAAAAAAACCCAACACTAATATTTTAAATTTATTTTAATTTACCCTTTTTTTTTTTTTTAAAAAGAAAAAAAAAATATTAATTTTTAGAATTAAAAAAAAGAATAAAGAAAAAAAAAAACCATTAAATTTTTGTGTTTTTTTTTTATATTTTTTGGAAAATTGATTTTTTTGGGGGGGGGGGAGGATTTAAAATTTTTTTGAATTTTTTAATTATGGGAATTATTTATCAAACCTAATATATCAAAAGAAAAAAAAATGAATAAAAAGAAATAAAAATTTTTAAAATTTTAATCCTATCCGCCCCCCCCCCCCCCCCCCCCTATTTATATGAAAACTGTAAGCCTAAAAAGAGGTTATCAATTATCAAGGATTTTCAGAAATCTAGATAAACCTGAACCTAGTCAATGAAAGGTTAGAATCAGCGATTGTCCAGGCTGACTCGAGTAAGGCTGACTTTGAGCTAAAATCAGTCAGACAGTAAGGTCAGGATTAGGCATATGGCTTAAGATCAGTGTCTTAGACTGGTTTGGCCAGGATTAGGCTATCAGTAAAACTAGCTCAAACCATGTGCTGGCCAGGTTCTTGACCTGCTCGGTAATTTTTAGACCATGGGCAATCCAGAGCCAGAGTCCTAACAGGCGGCCAAGCCCAAGCCTGGCTTTTAGAAAATCCCACATACCACCGTTGTTTTCTCGTAAATAACTTCTCTTTGAACTTTCCTCTTTCTATCTTTACTCGATCAGAATCCTTGCCTCGTTGAGGTGATAGATGATCTAAATGAAAGAAAAAAAGGAAAAAGAAAGACGTGATATCTCATGCTCTTCACTCATCAACAACTGTCCATTTCCTTCTCCTCCTTTTCCTCTTCTTTCCTTCCTCTTCTTTCCTTCCTCTTCTTTTCTTTTCCTCACTTTTTCTCCACATCAATGGTCGACAAATCGCTTGATGAAGTAGATAGATTAGAAGACACATCTTTCTTCTCTTTCCATCAACACCTTTTTGAATTTCTTTGAGCTTTGGAAAGGAGTTTTGAATGAAAGTTTGTTATTTGTGAATCTGTGTAGAATCCGGTTATTTCATTTAATTTTTAAAAGAATAGAGTTAGCTTAGATCATTAGCATATATAGGTTATGTCCGATTTAGATTTTCATCCGATTTAAACTCAATCTAAAACAGACGTCCAATTTAGATTTTGAGTCTAAATCAGACGTCCGATTAGAAGACACATCTTTCTTCTCTTTCCATCAACACCTTTTTGAATTTTTTTAAGCTTTGGAAAGGAATTTTGAATCAAAGTTTGTTATTTGTGAATCTGTGTAGAATCCGATTATTGTATGGGTGAAATCGATTTTCCAATGAAATTTTGTAATTCTAAGACTTTCTAGAAGATAATTAAGCTTTAAAAGCTCAAGCAAGCAAGCATTTTTGAGAGAACTCAACCAATTTGACTCGAGCTTGGCATCTTAAGCTTCTCAGTCTTGAAAAATCCTAAAGTGTCAATGAAAAGCTTGAAATTTCTTTGAAAATCTTACAGGATTATATAAAATTGTTTGAAAAGTCAGATCAGATTTGAAAAGTCTTCTAAAGTTTATTCAATTCTTAAAATATCCAGTTTCTTTCTTCAGTTTCTTCGAAAATCATTCTCTTCTCAAGATTCAATTCTCAGAAACCTGGACATCGACTAATTTTCACTGCTTATCGCCCCTCTTTTCCCATTTCCTCAAAAATGGGAGACAATGATTGCAGTCAATTCAATATTTCCTGTGACTGTCACTATCAATATCAATATTATGATTACGAGGATCGAGTTGTATTGGGTAAAACTTGAAATGTAGATCTTATTATTCCCCATAAACTTCAGGTCTTCTCGCTCTTCCCATCATGGCCTTCGGGATTTGCGCAAATTTGACAAGCGTTCGAATCTTCACACATAGGTAACTGCAAATTGTCGAGCTCTAAGAATGAATTCTCAGACTAATGTCAACATCATCGATCAATTGGTATCTCGCGGCAATGTCCGCATCGGATACGATCATTTTGATCGCCTCTTTTTGTGTGTTGAGTATGCCGAGGCTGGGCGAATACTTGTTGACATGGAATGCGGCGTATTGGAGGTAAAAGAAATGATCGTAGGGATATTCGAATTCATCAGGCCTTACTATTAGATTGTTTATTAGACGATTAGACTAATAGATACTATTAGATACTATTAGCTAGATCAGGCCCTAAATTCTGGCATCACCAGTACTTTTCTGGGTCTATCCTAAGATCTGTAAGCTTAAGCCAAACTTTGTCTTAGCCTTGTTTGGCTGGTTTGGTTTTCAAACAGCTTTACTCGTTTGATAATTCTCGATTTTAACCTCACAAAGTTTAAAGGTAAAAACGTTCATTATATGCAAATTAGTAGAATAAATTAGATAAAGATCAATTGTTCATTCAAAGCCAAATCCTCATACAAATTTGTTTCTATTTCAGTTACATGATAGCTCCGATCATGTTCGGTTTGATGACAATGGGACAGACAATGAGGTTCAGAAGAAAAGAAATCCTTTTATTCATCAAATCATTTAGTGTTTATTTGACAGTTGGTGTCTCTGTTCATCGATATATTGGTGTCTGTCATCCATATAAAGCAACACAACTATTGCCTAAAAGTTTGTGAATCAGCAAGAGGATAAAACAATCGATTTTCAGAAGAGTTGCTCATTTCATACTCGGGATCATCATCTTTTCGATTCTTTTTAATATCAGTCGCTTTTTCGAGGTTTGTAGGAAACATTAGAGCTGCTTTTTGGAAACCTTTTAACTAGCAAAAACTTTTTTTTCTTTACTTTTTTAAAAGAATAGATTTAGATTAGATCATTAGCATATATATGTTATGTTCGATTTAGATTTTCATCCGATTTAGACTCAATCTAAGACAGATTTAGATTTAGATTTTGAGTCTAAATCGGACGTCCGTTTTAGACTTAATCTAAAACGGACGTCTGATTTAGATAAGGTCTAAAACGGACGTCTGATTTAGATTTGGAGTCTAAATCGGACGTCTGATTTAGACTCCAAATCTAAAAGAGACGTCTGATTTAGACTCCAAATCTAAATCAGACGTTTGTTTTAGATTAAGTCTAAAAACGGACGTCCGATTTAGACTCAAAATCTAAATCTAAATCTGTCTTAGATTGAGTCTAAATCGGATGAAAATCTAAATCATATACATAACATATATTTAAAAGATTTCAAAGCTTTCTTTTCATGATTTCAAAGCTTCCTTTTCAGGTACGTGTCTCAAATGTATGCTATCGAATCAATATCAATTACTATATGCCACATTTGATGATGACTGAATTGAGACACAATGAAACGTACTTAATGGTTTGTTTCATTTAACTCATTTACATTGTACAATTGTTGAATTCAATTTTCCATCACAGATTTTCCATGGATGGGCTCTGACAATCCTCATGTTCGTTGTTCCATTCACTCTTTTGATCGGTTTCAACTCGATGGTTCTCCACGCTGTGAGGAAAAGTCGACGAGCACATATGGTAAATAAAAATTAAACAAATTAACTTGCGAATTATTATCTATAAGGTGTTTCAAAAGTTTCTGTACAGATTTTAAAACTGAATTTGAAAACGGTAGGTACAGGGCAGACTTTAACTTTAAAAAGGTACAGGGCTTTATTTGTTCGGAGGCTTTTAGTCATAGAAATCACCTTTTTAACACTATTACACTAATTGAAATTCTTGTTTTAAGTGCTCTTTTTAATGTTTAGCATTAAAGATAGTGTTTTTTTGAGGCTTAAGAAGCTTTTTTGCCTTGTGAGATTGCCGGTTATGATTAAATGGAAAGTAATGGATTTTGGGTGAATTGTAAGTTCAATTCTAGCACGCTCCATGAAATGAGCCTCACCTTCTTGCAAAAAAAAGTCAGCTATGTTCCAAAAAAAGCTTTCAAAGAACCTTTTATGTTATTTGTATACCAAAATTTCTTTTTTTTGCGTAAACTAACCTTCAAGTAAGAGAGGAAATGGTGTGTGATCCTGTGATCCTGGGTGTGATCCTGGGTGTGATCCTGACGATCACTAAAAACCTCACTAGAAAAGGATCACTAAAAACCTCCGATCACATAAAAGTATTTATCTTTGCCGGAAATTAAGCTACTGTTTTCAAATTCAAATTAAATTGTATATTTCTTAGATAGGCGATTATGCTGTGCCATATTTTCAGCTTAATCCTGATCCGATGCAATTTTATAGTTTTAAAAAATGTGTGTAGAAGAACTTTTCTTTGTAAATAACCAAAAGTCACCAAAAGGCCTGAGCCTAAAGCTTATAATACTGTAATTGTGCAATGTAATTTCTTTTAGTGTGGTGGTGAAAGTGATGAGATGTCAAGGAAAGCTGAAAGGAAAGAACGACAGACTTCAATCATGCTGGTGAGTAATGGAGATTTATTCATTTACTTAAAAGCAAGCAAGCATATCGATTAGGGATTTGAATCATATTTCTAAAGACATTTTTGCTCAACCCAAAAATGGCTTCCGATTGGGTCTGCTAGTTTTTGGGAATTGTGGGACATTTGATACGCGCTCGCCTACTTTTCCATCTAACTTTGGCCAAGATTTGACCCAAAAATCCTTGTCGAACATTTGATACGCACCCCACCCCTTTTCCCATTAGCAGTCTAACTTTAAGCTTAAATACCTTAGTGTTGAGCTGTTCAATTTAAATCTTCTTGATATCATTAGATGCGCTAAGTCTTTCTCTGTCGATTGGTACAAAAACTATTTAAATTGAACAGCCCAACACCAAGAAATTTAAACTTAAAATTAGATGGAAAAGGGCGCGTTTCAAATGCGTATCAAATGCGATCGCGTATCAAATGTCCCACAATCCCCAAAAACTAACAGACCCAATCGGAAGCCAGACTCGATCACCAGCTCTGGCTCAATTAAACCAAAGAAATCAGCGCTCAAAACTTTCAGATATTTCAATTTCAATTGCATTTTAGGTAGCCGTCGTGATCCTTTTCATCTCTTGTAACTCATTGGCTTTCATTTGCAACATGATGGAGAATCTCGGTTTCAAGGATTTCTCTGCGCTTGTCACCGCTAACAATATGACGGTAAATATTTTAAGATTTACTCAAATAAATTCAAATTTCAGGTGATCATCAACGCTTCAGGTTAGTGAACTTTATTTAAAGAAAAGGAAACAGAGAAAAAATCTTAGCAAATGAAACACAAAAATCAAAGAACAATCAAAAATAATTCTTATTGACAAACAAACAAAAGAAACTTATTGAATAGAATTTTTTTTGATTCAATACAAGCATCACTTCTGAGCTGTCTAGACTTGGCTAACGAGAGTTAACGAGACAAATGGGTCGCACAACTTCAGACGCCTCATCTAGTCTCCAGTGTATCGGATTTCAATTAACTTTTTTTTAAATTTAAAACCAAGACTTTAAGCTATCAAATGATACCCATCATTAGTATTTTTCTTTTGAAAAATTCGGTTAAAAACATTATCGAGACTTAACGAGATAACGAGGAATTGTCTCGTTCAGTTTTTAGAAGGTTTTTGATTCACTTTTTATTAGAAAAATATTATTGATAGGTATCATTGGATAGCTTAAAGTCTTGGCTTTTAAATAAAAAAAAGTTAATTGGAATCCGATACTCTGGAGGCTAGATGAAGCGCTTGGAGTTGTGCGATCCATTTGTTAACTCTCCTCTCCTTAGCCAAGTCTAGAGCTGTTGGTGAAGCTTATTTCAAGACCTCTAAACAAGACTACCGTAAATACTGTAATAGTACCCCACCCCCCTCGTATGTCGCAAAAGTTTTTTAGTATTCCATTTTTTCAAAGCGCCCGTACTTTCAAAAAATGCGTTTTTGGTATCAAAAAATAGCTGAAATTCAGGGCTATTTTTTGATACCTAAGCGCGCATTGTAGCATAAACCAGTGTCGAGAAAAACTCGTTCAAAGCTAGACTACGCAACACTCCGCACCGTCATTAATGGGGGTGGGGTACGATTACAGTATTTACGGTAAGTAATCAACAATGCTTTTCTTCAGTGAACATCTTCATCTATATGTTATTCTCGGAGAAATATCGGCTTCTATTGCGACATTATTTATGCTGTGACTGGAGTCGCCAAGGGGAAATGCTTCTCAATTCGGTTATGGCTTAAAGAAGCTACTGTAGCTGGGAAAGAGGCTGTACTGCTTGAGTGAAGCATTAAAAAGTGCTCTTTAGCTACCGTATCCCACTAAAACTTCTGTGAAAATTGACAAGTTTTAACAAAACAAAGAACAGGCAAAGATTTCTGAGAGTCTTGGCTCAACTGTTCGTTTAAACTTTTAAAAACAACCGGGATACGTTAGTTTTTTTTCTTTTAGAAAACACTTTAATTAAGAGAATATTCAATTAAGATGACATTTTTCTTCTTTAAATGCAAATTTCTTCATTCAAAAGCCTCTATTCTTTTGCTAAAGCCATGCACAGAATAAACGGGTTTTTTTTCTCAATTATGGTAATCAAAAAAAAGTATTCGAGAATATTTCTCTGTAAGCCAATTTTTTGGCTAAAACTTTTAACTCTTAATTTTCACATTAAAATCTTTGCCAAAGAATCAATTGCGGTTTCATTGTGATACTCATTTTCATTTTTTTTGTTGTCTTTAATGCTTTAATTTCATTTTTCTTTCTTTACATTTTGCATCTTTGTGTGAATCACGATTCGGGTATCATTTTGGAGTTCTATTTGGATAAATCTCTTAATAATTCAGAGTTTTTGCAGATTGAAAACCATTTTGTCATCAAAAAACACTTCTAGTTGGTGTGTAACACTGAAAAACGTACTTCTTTTACTAGGAAAAGGCACGAACTTAAGGGCTGGACATCCAGATCTGAAGCTTTTGATAAAAAAACTGATAAAAAAATAGATACAGTACTGGACAATGAAATATCATATTTGAAAAACGATCGTCACTTGCGCGCGTCTGTAACTCCCTTGTCTTTGAGTTTAAACTATTAGTGTTATACATTTTCTGAAAGCTCTTTTCAATGGCTACACAATGGTAGTATTAATATTTAGAAATACGGTAAAGACAAGGGAGTTACAGACCGCGAAAGTGACGACCGTTTTTCAAATATGATATTTCATTGTCCAGTACTGTAATTTACAAAAAAAGATACCGATTTTCTGAGTTTTATTTGAAATTTCAATGCAAACCTTGATTGTACCCAGCTCCTTGTCCAATATTTCGTCGATCACGAGCTTCGGAATAGGTGAGAAGAGCTGAAATTATGCCTTTAAGCCTTAGGTACAGTATTGGACCATGAAATATCATATGTGAAAAACGATCGTCACGTTCGCACGTCTGTAAGAAATAAAAGATAAGGGATGGTTTCGATCAGAAAGGGCTAAACTTCCTTGTCTTCGAGTTTAAACTATTAGTGTTATACATTTTCTGAAAGCTCTTTTCAATGGCTACACAATGGTAGTATTAATATTTAGAAATACGGTAAAGACAGGGGAGTTACAGACGCGCGAAAGTGCGAAAGTGTTTTTTCAAATATGATAGTTCAGTACTGTATATCGATTGAATATAAAAATAAACCCGAGAAACGGTAAGTTTCTCATAAAATGAGTTCATTTATTGATTTTTCTCTTTCTTTTTTTCTCATTCCATATAGGGGGTGGGGTCAATTGAACGGAAGCATTGATGGGTGTCTCAGTTTGAAGGAGAATAAAAAGAGTTTAAAAGGCAAAAAGACAAAAAGGACTCATTAAAATTTCTTCTTCTTGAAATAGGTGATAAGACCCATGTAAAACCATAAAAAAGAACATAATTCTTTACAGAAAATATGCTTTTTGAGATAAGGAAAAAGAAGGAGAAAAATGCGAGCAATGGTATTCAAAAAAGGAGAAACAGAAGAGTACTCAAATTGGATTGACGCAACCGCAACCAGCCACTCAATCACTCAATCACTTTTTCTCATTCTTTGTGAAAAATTGAATGATTTACCGCAAATTAACTATAGTTTACTGAAGCAAACACTCATTTTCATCAGCTTTAAACTTTCAAATCAAAACCCAATCCGATTTCTATTGAAAATTCGGATATTTTGTGAGTTGTACAAAGCTTTAATCGTTCGTAACTTTTACTAGGGCTTTTTTTTGAATACTTTTCTCCTTTTGAATACTTTACTTTTCCCCCTTTGAATACTTTTCCCCTTTGAATACTGCTTACTTATACCAGAATTAGTATAAAGTCTACGAAAAAGCTATTCGCTTCAATGCTAATTTCGGAAAAAGCAGATTTTCATCAGCTTTAAACTTTCAAATCAAAAACCCAATCCGATTTCTATTGAAAATTCGGATATTTTGTGAGTTGTACCGAGCTTTAATCGTTCGTAACTTTTACTAGGGGTTTTTTGAATACTTTTCCCTTTTAAATACTTTTCTCCTTTTGACTACTTCTCCCCTTTTGAATACTTTTCCCCTTTTGAATATTTCTTCCTTATACTAGAATTAGTATAAAGTCTACAAAAAGTTGAGCTAAAAAGCTTAGCTAATTTCGGAAAAAGCCAACTTCCTTTTAAATGCAAATTTGGCAATCGGTTGAGGCTAAACCGACCGAAAATAGGATTGATTTTGTTTCAATTTTGAAGCTTAGACTTTCGAATAGTGTACAATGAGATCTTCCAAAAGATCATAATATCTTTCAAAAGTCTAAACTCTTTCTCTTCTAGAAATCTCAAATATCATTCAAATCCTATATTTAGCAAAGGTTTAAAGTTATAAATTTAAGTTCAGCTTGGTTTTTTGCAAACCAAAACCACAACTAAAACCGATTTTCTGAACAAAAATGTCTCCCTCGACTACCGAGATCGTAAATATTTCACTTAAAATGTTAAAGATAACGCCCGATTTCATTTGAGACTTTAACTGTTTTAGTACTTTTGAGTAATTTAACCTAAAAGATTTTAAGGCTAATATTTAGATTGCGGTTCTTTAGACTCTTGCAAATGCGCCTACACTTAGTCACCTTTTTGGTGATTTTGTTGTGTCGTGGCATTTCAACAGATGCGCCGAATTCAACAACTTCGGAGCCTTCAACGACGCCAAATGGTGTCACTTCTGTAAGTTAAAAAAGACGCTTTTTTTTATTAATTTAAAATATCATACGCATGTGTTTATTTTTCAATCATTATTTTAACAAAATTGCACAATAAATACCGTAGTTTTTCGAATAGAAGACCGGGTAAAAGTATGATCGCTACTCCTGCGTAGCAGCCCTTTTTAAATTTCTTTTCTGCATAAAAGCTTTCAATCAAGTGTTATAGGGCTGGAAAATGGCTCAAAAATCTGTTAGCTCATGTGGTATTTTTGAGTCATTTTCCAGCTCTATAGCACTTGATTGAAAGCTTTATATGTAGAAAAGAAATTTTAAAAAGGGCTGCTACGCAGGAGTACGCAATGATACTTTACCCGGTCTTCTATTCGAAGAAATACGGTAATTCCTTTTTATTCATTTTTAATAAACAAACCATCATCATTTTCATCTTGTTCATCAACTTGACTATAGAGATAAACCTTTTCGATCACATCAACCATTATACTAAGAATAAGAATGAGAATAAGAATTAGAATAAGAATAAGAATGAGAATAAGAATTAGAATAAGAATAAGAATTAGAATGAGAATTAGAATGAGAATTAGAATGAGAATTAGAATAAGAATTAGAATTAGAATGAGAATTAGAATAAGAATGAGAATAAGAATTAGAATAAGAATGAGAATTAGAATTAGAATTAGAATTAGAATTAGAATTAGAATAAGAATAAGAATTAGAATAAGAATGAGAATAAGAATTAGAATGAGAATTAGAATGAGAATTAGAATGAGAATTAGAATAAGAATAAGAATTAGAATAGGAATGAGAATAAGAATTAGAATTAGAATTAGAATTAGAATAAGAATGAGAATTAGAATTAGAATAAGAATAAGAGCTTATCTTTCTATTCGAAGAAATACGGTAAAATTTTTTAAATGTTTTATGATTAAATAGAATTTCCATATAAATTCAAAAACTTTTAAATATTTCTAGGCATTGAATGGACAATCAACATCAACAAGCAAGGCAGATCTTCCAACTTCAACCGGTGACCAGCAATCTAAAACTTCAATTGTTACAACTGTTGCAGGTTTATCATTAAACTATCTAGAATATCTAGATAAAATAGTCTTTCTTATAAAAGTGCGCTAAATCCAGTAGCATGTTTAGAACTGAATTAGCAAAACAATCTCTAAGAGATTCGATTTTGAAACGCTCAAAGTACACTTGTTTGAACCTAACTAGCTTCGATTGCACCAAATCTTTTGGCAAAAGCAAACTTTTAGCCTAATGCATTGCTCATCTTAAAAACCAGAGCTCATTTTGTCGCTTCCAGACACAACAAATCCATCAGTGACAACGCTAAATCCTGGAACTGGCAGCACAATCGTCCAATCATCAACAACAAAAACAACAACAACAACCGCCACTCAAGCGCCACAAACTGGTTCGACAGACGCACCAGCTAGTGCTGTAACTACGACGCAAAGTTAGTTTAAAGAGTACATTATCAGATTTACAGTAGATGCAGAGACATTTACAGTATCAAATTATTGGCTAAAGCCTTTCCATTTCTATAGAATTATTGACTAGCCACTTTTATAATTTTCCATTTTTATAACCTTTTTGTTTTTAGATATCCCAACAACAACAGTTGGAGTGGTCAGTTATTTTTTTTTTTGTTTTAAAATCAACAATTGACAGACGACAGCAACATGGAACATCCCATTGAATAACACGGATCCGACGGATCTCCTTCGAGCGATCGCAAATCTTAACAACACTGTGTCGATGTGAGTGATGTCTTTTAAAAAACACACTACCAAAATGTGTTCTGGAGAATTATGGTGAATTCAAAAATTGTACTGCTGATCGAAATGTTTCAATATTGTAAAATTCAAGTGAACTAAAGTAAAGTAATCTATTTAAGATTACTATTTAATTTAAGATTGTAGCGTTTAGACTAGTAAAACTTACTTTAAACTAAACTAAACTTAACTTAAACTTAAACTAAACTTGAATTTAAACTTAAACTTAAGCTTACCTAAAACTTAACTCAAACTAAACCAAACTAAACCAAACTAAACCAAACTAACCAAACTAAACTAGACTAAACTTAAACTAAACTAAAACTAAACTAAAACTAAAACCAAAACTAAAACTAAAACAAAACAAAAACTAAACTTAAACTTGCCTAAAACTAAAACTAAAACCTATTTTCCTTACAATTAATTCTTTTATTTGAATTAGAAATGAAAATTTTGATTTGAATTTGATTGAGAAGACATTTTGGTGTATAAAATTTTGGTGTATAAAAACTCTGCTGTATTCTGTAAAATCTAGAACACAATACGACAATTTCTCTTCAATCCTTGCTCCAAACCTATCTTTCCAATTAAACCCTTCATACCTTAAATTCCCTAATCATCAATCTTTAGTCTGAAAGCGAATCTCGACGATCTTTACAATGGTGTAAATGTAAATGGATCAAACAACTATATCACTCAACTCAAAAATCTCAACGCTACAAGTAAATTTTATTTCATTTTCATTATTTTCTTTTCATTATTTTTATTTCATTATTTTTATTTCATTATTTTCTTTTCATTATTTTCTTTTCATTCTTTTCATTTCATTTATAATTTCAAAACGAATTTTAAACTTTATATTCTGAATAATTGAATGAATTCTAGTTGCACAGTTGAACACAGATGGTTTGCAGGCTCAAATCAATAATACGAAAAACATTTATTCTGCAACACTGACAAGTTTGTGACTATGAAATTGGATAAAATTGAATCTGAAAGATGTATTAATTGCTATTAATATTATATTTTAGATATTCAACCATTGTTTGACACGCTGCAGTGCTTCAAGAACAGTCCTTGTGTGGTAGTGCCAAGTCCAAGTAAGGGAGTGTTTGAGTGAAATGAAAGAAATAAAATAGATTGTAGATAGAAACTAAAGACGGTTACGGTAGTATTCAAAAGTTGACATATTTTAGAAAAGAGCATTGTTTGCGTAAACCACACTTTAGGTCCAAGTATGTGCCCACCAATTTTACTGAATGCCACCTCCACCTCGCAGCAATTCTCCTATGCAAGTGGTCTCGAATACAATTGTATGACAGAGGTAAAATTCTTGGTCTTGATCTTGGTCTAGTCTTGGCCTTGGTCTTGGTCTTGGTCTTGGTCTAGTCTTGGTCTTGATCTTGGTCTTGATCTTGATCTTGGTCTTGATCTTGGTCTTGATCTTGGTCTTGATCTTGGTCTTGATCTTGATCTTGGTCTTGATCTTGGTCTTGGTCTTGGTCTTGATCTTGATCTTGGTCTTGGTCAAGCAATAAAACTAATCTATTCATTTCTATTATATTTCAACCTTTTATGTAGAAATGGATAAAGTAAATCGATTTATCAAAAAAAATTTATCGGGTATCAAAATGGTAAAATCATTATAGTTTTCAGTCAGTTGGTTTTCGAATACTGTATTTTCTGTAATAGTAGTGTGCACTACTATTTTTTCAACCCCCCTCCTGCCTGCACTACTATTACAGACTGCACTACTATTATAGACTGCACTACTATTACAGAAAATACGGTAACTGACTAGTTTTCGACTAACTTGTGTATTTCAGAAAGTTTTCGTTTTAAGAAGCTATAAAATTTGTAGAAAAACCCTCAAAGAAATTTTAGGCAAAAATTAATCCCAAAAATTTGGGTACACGTACATTTCAGCTAAATTCAAGCGATGGAGATCCGATCGTTTACACGTTGAATTTGACATTGACTGGCAAAGCTCAACTCATCGTTCAAGACATAGGTGGCAATGTCCAAGCTAAGTAAGTTTTTAAAAAATTGGAACTTAGATGAATATCATTTATCATATTGTTTATCTATTTCAGTTATACGACCAATCAGATCAACAAAACTGAATCTTTGGACTGCTCGAGCTTTATTTCATTTATTCATTTACTCAAAAAGGAAGATACAATCTCTTTGAGTGTCATTTATAATATACGTATGTGAATTGATTGAAAAAGATTTGAATTTGATTTTCAGGAGGATCCTTGCACAGGAGCAGATTGCGGTAATGGAACATGTGTTGTGGTTGATGGGAAACCGATTTGCAATTGTCTCGGAGTGTCATTCTGGGGGCCAAATGTCAAGGTAGGAAGCTGAAGAAAACAAAATCAGTTTTCGCTAAAAGTTTGAAGCTTTTAAACGAATTTTCTTTGTCTAGACATTCAGCTATTGGTGATTCAGATATTCAGACATTTCTTGGGTTTTCTGAATAAGAAATGTTGATAGCAGACTGTTATTGTCTGTTTAGAAAAATGAATTCATCTTGGAAAAATCAATTCATTTAATCTACCTAATTTAATAATTACAGTTTATTTTTTTTCATTCAATGAAACTAGATTTGCTCAGGGTAAGGCAGAAAAAATGGCATTTTTCTGGAAGTATCGATTTCATTGATATCACCTTCAGAATACCACAAGACCCTGTGTTGGAAGCCAAGTGACCGAAAGTGTCCAAGTACAAGTGGTAACTGTAACAGTTCAGTTGAAACCAATGACGCATGTGATTGGCAGGTTAGACCGGATTTCTTTTCTTAAACTTTATTATCTAGTGCAACTGCAATCCACCATTGCATCAAACAAGTGATCATAAGTCTTGCTCTTTCGGCCAGTGATTCAATCCTTATGGAAGAAGTAAAGAATGGCCTTTACTGGAAAAATTAAACTTTCTCTCTGATATTGACTTCAATTACGGGCTTGGAAATTTCTTGAAGTTATCACTACAATAAAACTCGTTCAATAAAAGATGGGACTTTCAGGAGAAGTGTTTCTTCTTGAATTCTTTTTTGAAGTATTTCTCAAAATTCATTTTTCTAAAAATATGTCAACTTTCGAGAACACCGTCTTGAATCTATTTTTTTATCCACCTTACTCTTTTTGTCTGATTCAGCAAGTGCTCACAAATTATATCAAAAAACATATACCAAAAATACTGTAATAGTACCCCAGCCCCCTCGTACAGTTCGCGTAGTCGCAAAAGTTTTTTAGAATTCCATTTTTTCAAAGCGCCCGTACTTTCAAAAATGCTTTTGGCATGAAAATAGCTGAAATTCAGGGCTATTTTTTGATACCTAAACCCGCATTGTAGCACATTGAGCGCACATTGTGCGCACATTGTAGCATAAACCAGTGTCGAGAAAAACTCGTTCAAAGCTAGACAGCAGCAGCACTCCGCACCGTCATTATGGGGGGTGGGGTACTATTACAGTACTTTACGGTAAGTAATCAACAATGCTTTTCTTCAGTGAACATCTTCATTCTATATGTTATTCTCGGAGAAATATCGAGAAATTACGGTAAGTTAGATAGATAAAAGTCAAAGTAGAGTATGGTAGGGTTGTTTCACGAATACCAGGTAAAACCAAGATTCAGGTCTAGATCAGGTAAAGTCAAGATTCAAGCCTAACATTTGACCAGTGCTTGGGCTGGCCTTTGGCCTTTACCTGGCCAACCTCATAGGCAAGACCGATCAGACCAGAAGGCCAGAAGCCAGTTCCTAGTCTGAGCTGACCTGGCCTGGTTAACTTACAGTACTCGGTAATCATCCCTAACTGTAGCTTTGAAAGCTGGGATGCTTTTGAAAACGCCTTGAGAATACATTAAGCTCAGATAAGCTCAACTGAAATCCTAAAAGTATGAATTCAATTCTCTATCCCATTCTCCATTACTCACTCAATTCTTGAATGACCATATGCTCTATTCTGAATAAATACCTCTTCTCTTCTCTTTTTTTCCAGAGTCAACCCATCCCAACCATTATTCTCCGCCAGAATTCTTTTCTGGCATTATGTCCGAATTTGCATAAATGTTCACAATAGGACACTCCCTTGCCTCTCCTTTTTTCCTTCTTTCTTTCCTTCTTTCTTTCCTTCTTTCTTTCTTTCTTTCTTTCTTTTTTATTCTTTTTAGAGAGTCACCTAGATCCTCAGGAGAAAGAGATATAGACAAATAGACATCCACAGACACAATCGGACATCGAATAAAACAAAGCAACGATCGGAGAGAAGTCTTCTCTACCTTTCTTCTTTTGGAGAATTGTGAAAGCTTTGATCAGCTAAAACATAGGTAGATTTACAGCTTTGAAGATTTAAATTTCAAGTTTTTGACACTGGCCAAACAACACTCTAAAAGCTTTGTTACGAATGGCTTTGTACAGCATTTTTCAGATAAAATCTTGGGAAATTCAAAAAAGCTCTCTTCTGATAAAGATGATTGATTGCTAAAATCCTAGATAATTCTTTGTCTCATTACCATTTTTAACTCATTTTCTATACAATAGGCAATAGGTTTTATAAAAGCATTATTCTCCAAAGACACTATTTTGTTAGCGTCTCTTTTCAGGGTGATCACGTGGGTCAGGATTGAGAGAAGGGGATTAAGAGGCCAAAATAGAAAAGAGATGAATAGATCAGAGAAAAGGGGAAAGCTTTTGAATACGGTATAATTGAGGGAGAAGGTAAAGGGAAAGGGATGCAAATTTGGATGAAAAAGAGAAAAGGAAAGAGAATAGACCATGAGGATTCCATGAAAGGTACCAGGGGTGGATCCGATGAGGACAAAGACAATCAACAAACACAAATCTCCACAAAATCATGATGAATAAAAGAAGATAAAGATGCAAGACTAAGAATTGTTCAGAGATTTATCTGAAACTCGAAGCCGAACTAGGGAGCAAGAACAATGCAAATTGCAGTGTGTGTGCAAATTTGTTTTGGACAAATAGACCCTTTAATGAATACATTGATTTTTTTTAGTTGATAACTTACACTTTGACAATTCCTGCGTTTTTATTTCCAAAGCTAACAAGTAGAGGCTACGATTTTGAATTTGGCTTATTTAGGTCAAAACGCGCAATCGTCTCTTCACAGCTTCGTGAAGCAAAGAACAAGAGTTGCACAATGACCCCCTACTGTGTCATTGCTTACCGTTAACTCAAAAACATATAAATAAAAACTCAGCAATTCTAAGCTGAGTCAATTTGATTGTTGTTCTTGTCGTTTGTGAAGAGGAAAAAGAAAATCGATTTGAATTTTATTTAACTTGGCTTTGTGCTTCAGTACTTTAGAGTACTTTAATTAGAGATTTTCATCTAAGAAATCATTTTAGTTGAATCGATTAGCTGAATCGATTAGTTGAATCGATTAGTTGAATCGATTAGCTGAATCGATTAGTTGAATCGATTGTTAGTCGAATCGGATTAGTTGAATCGGATTAGTAATACTTTAAAGTATTTGCAATATTTTCAGTGTTTCCACTTTGTTATAGCTCTCAGTTTACTTGCAATTATTAGCCAAAAATGACGAGTACCAGATCCAGGACTCATCTCTGACTTATTTAAATCTATTTAATTCCTTATTTAAATCTCTGACTCCTAAATCTCTCAAAAAAAAGTAACCCAAACGTGGAAAGACCTCGGTGTCAGAAAATCGATTGTCAAATTGAATTCCCTGAAATCACGAGTGATTCACGTAAACAAGGCAGTTGGGAAAAGAGAAAAGGGAATTTGGAGATGTTGGAAAGAGGTTACAGTTACAGTAATACTTATTCATTTCATTTTAGATTAATAAAAGAGAAGATGAGATGAGTTTCGAGAAACAAATTGCATTGCAAAGTCGAGTAAACGCATAGATTTTCCATTTCTGTCATTTACTATTAGCCAAATCTGCATAATTTTCCTTATAGCCAAAAGACTCAGCTAATGCAAAAATCTACGTCATTCTTTTAAAACAAAACATTTCACTTCTCATTAGTTAGCATTGCTTGCTGCTAGCAGTGCCTGACTTCTTTAGTGCTGATTGTCTGAATTTCGAGATCTCCATGTATGCCTTGTTTTCTTCAACAGATTTTCCCATTTCTTCCATTTCTTTTTCTTTCAATTTTCCACCTATCCAGAAGACGCAAAAGTTCTTTGAATCAGTCTCTTTTTTTCATTCGTCTTCTTTTCTTCGCGGCGTTGCTATACGTCGATGAGGGACGGGATGTTTTCAGTGGGGAGGGTGGCTCTTAGCACTCACTCTTTCTTTTTTTCGTTCTTTCTCTTTCTTTCCCCCTATCATCTTGCCCTCTTCTTCCACCATCAATACCCTCCTTAAAAATCCGATTGAAAAAGGGGGGAAAGGGTGGAGGGAGAGGCGGCACTCACAACACAGCGAGTAGAGGGGGTTGGCGGGGGCTGGCTGCATTGCCTGCCTGCAACCCTTAACGCATAGCTTGTCTTTTCCTTCCTCTCAAAAGAGAGCCACAGTGCACTGTGTGTTCCTTAAAAGAGCAATGGGGAGGGAAAGGTCGCGTCTCGCGTCACACCAATCGGATAGCCTTCAGCCTTCAGCCTTCTCCCTAGGGTACTGCTCCTATGCAAATGGGAAAGAGAAGAGAAATGAATGAGAGAGAGCTGTCCGAGTCACATGTCCCTTGGGGAGGACTGGGAAGAGAGATAGAAGAGGAGAAACTTTTCGATCACAAAGAAAGATCACTAAATACTTTTAATGGAGAAGAGTAGATACTAAAATGATAGGGGAAAATATTCCAAAACCTTTCTTTTGAAGAAGAGTCTTTCTTTCTTTCTTTTGAAAACCTTTCTTTATACATCTCATTTTTCATTCATAAACAAATCAAACACAAATTTTGTTTTCCTGTTAGCTCAGATTGCCGACGGCTAGATGGCTTTGTTTACTCGTTGGCACCTACCGGGATTAGCATTTCGTTGGTTTTCTCAAATGAATCCATTTTTGGGATACAGTATGATTTCCATGAGATCTAGCTTCACTAAAGGACCAAAAAATTCTCGTTGAAGTCAGCTTAAAGTCAACCTTCGTTGAAAGTTGAAGTCAGCGTCAGCCTTCGCCATTTACACATACACAAATACACAGGAAGCCATTTCCCAGGTCTTCTTCTTTTCAATATAATCCGATACAGAGAACTTCTTCTTTTCCCTTCTTTTCCTTTCCATTTTTCATCACTCTCTTCTCACTCTTTCACACTCGATGTGCATATTTCTGTGTGGGTGTTTGTGCACGCATCTAGTGTTGTGTTGAGTCGATGCATTCAGCGTCGGAAGACACCACACTCTTCACTTCTTCAATCCTTTCCTTTCCCTTTCCCTCTCATAAACTTCGAATCTCTCGTTGCCAGCGATTGGCTGACTGCCGAGCATGCACACAAATCGACGCTGCTGGGGATCGAACCCGATGGGAGCGAGAGCGCAGACAGACATGCAGAGGGTAATGGGCAGACACGAAGCGGGGTCTTCACGATGTTCGAGCTGGATCTGGTGGTGGAACCGGAGCCGCCTCTAAGCAGAGAACACAAGAGTTTATAGAGACAAGAGTCAAGGAAAGGGTTGTATGGAGAAAAGAGTTAGAGAATGAGTGCTAGTGGAGGGTGAAGAGATGGAAAGGCATGAGGGGGGCGTTGTCGGACAAAGAAGTCAGAGACCAGGGGGCAGCCGGTGGACGGGGTGGTGGAGAGCGAGGTGGACAGGGTCGGAAAATTGAGAAATATTGAGAGGAATGGAGAGATACAGAGTGGGCGGGGCCTCGACAGCAAGACGCACACCCCGAGCCCGTCGACTGCCGGAGCACACACAGCTCACTCGTTCAACCCCGCTCCAATCTAACCAATTCGAAGAAAGAAGAATGGCCGCCGTCGCAAAGCCAAAAGCCAAAGCCGCCACGAAGCCCAAGGCGCCAAAAAGTAAAGAAAGCCAAGGTGAGTGTGATTTTCTAATCTTTTAAAGAAAATTCATGACTTTAGGTTTCCAAGAAGGCTACAAAGCCTAAGGCTGCCAAGAAACCAAAGGCCAAAAAAAGCCAAGAAATCACCAAAGAAGGCCGCTGCCCCAAAAGCTGTAAGTTTATATATAAGACTTGAATATAAGACTTGAATATAAGACTTTCATATAAGACTATAAGACTATAAGACTTGCATATAAGACTTTGACGATTATAGTGACTGGAGCTAATCATTGAATTTTTAGAAATAAGTCACTTCTCCGTCACTTGTTTACCTTCAAATGTCTCGTGGTCGATTCACTCAAGGATCTCCAACTCAGCGTTTACTCAAAAAACCATATGAAATTCTTCAACAAAACAAAAAAAAATGTAACAATCACTCGTCTTTCGGTATATATTTTTAAAGCCTCAACTTTTGCCTACAATAGAATCCAAATTTTACTTTGAATTCTCTCATTTTGTATCCTTTTTTTCTTTCGTAATTGCCAAATACTGCAAATAGTGCTGGTTCACGATCGTACTCTCTTTTTTCGACTTTAATTAGAAATGCAATAAAAATCAATAAACACTTCATAAACGATTTGATTCTTTAAAAAGCAAAAAAAGAAAAAAGAAATGCAAACCATTGTACAGAGAAAACAAAGCACCTCTTCTTGGATTCAAGAGTTGGTTTGGTGAAGAGAATTGGCCTAAGACTCGGATTTGGCAGAGTGCCTAATTTTGGTTACGGTAATCATTAGAGTGACCTTCGTCGGGGGATCTCAAAAAGTCGAGACGAGCGTCGATCGACGGACATCTGTCCCATCGAATCGACCTCCAATCAACTGCACTAACCACTCGGTTCAAGAGCATCGATCGACTCTGAAATGAAGCCTCAAAATCGAATGAAGCTTTCTGGAAATCATCTCGATCAGACACGCGATAAGAGGCGACGAGAAATGATGCGCTGGGGGGAAATGGGTGTAATTGGGATCCAAGGGGAATCCAAAGGGGAAAGAGGTGGGGAAATTGGAGAGATCTCCCACGAAATGATATCGATAATCATTTTAAATGTGAAATTTTCGTATTGAGATCATAAAAATAGGCTGGATTTGCTTCAATTAAAAAATTTTTGAGTGTTATTCTTAAAGAAATGGTTTTTTGACACTATTGTGATCAGTAGACTTTAAAGAAAAAGATATTCAGGCTTGTTTTTTGGAATAAAGTACGGTAGAATGTGTTTCTATGGATTGCGTTTTCTAAGAGGCGCCAAAAAAAAGCTACCGTATCCCGATGCGTCTTGAGGATTTTCTAGGCATAGGGCAAATTTGCATTTAAAACTTATACAATAGTCAGCTTCAAGTCATAAGGTTAGACAACTAGCTACCGTATGCTAAGTGGCTAGACACATAGCTACCGTATGCTAAGGAAGTGTGAATGTAATTTTAAAATCAAATAATCAAATTCAGCCTTTCAAAGAAGATCACTCAAAAAGAAAGAATCTAAAAAGAAGATCTAAGACTAAACAAAGCTAAACAAGGCTAAACTTGTGTAGAAACACACTTTAACTGTAGCTAATAATGCTTTCTACACACTAAACGTGTTTAGAAAGCAATTAATAACAATGAAATTGTTGAGTATCTATATTTCTGAGGAAATAATCAATATATAAATAATCTTTTCAATGATCGTTGATGATCATTTCAATGATCGTCAATCGCTTACCCATACCATTAACCCTAAAATACTCTATTCTATTCTATTCTATTCTATTCAATTAAAATACGAATTGAATAGATAAGATTTCCCCATCCATCTGTTCTTCTTCTTCTTTCACTTCTCAGGTCAGTTTAAAAGAGAAAAGAGCGAAAAGAAAAATAGGCGAGTGTTTGCCAAAGAAGAGAGTAAACTCTTCCTCTGAATTCAATGCTTTTCCTCCGATGTTTTTTTTTGTTCGCTCGCTAGAAACCTTTAGATCAAACACACTGAGGAAGTCATTTTGGTGAATTGAAAATTTATTCAATCAAGGTGAAAAAGGAGAATTCTATAGGACAAAAGGCGGAAAAATTGTTGTGGCTTTGTCGAGCTTCTAGTACTTGATTTCTAGTACTTCTAGTACTTGATTTCTAGTACTTCTAGTAATTCTAGTACTCTATACTCAGTACTTCTTAGCACTTCAGCACTCTAGCACTCTAGTACTCTAGACTTACTAGTACTCTGATTTCAGTACTCTAGAACTCTAGTACTTCTAAGTACCCTCTAGTACTCCAGTACTCTAGAACTTCCAGTACTCTAGTACTTCTAGTACTCTGACTCTATACCTCTAGTACTCCTAGTACTCAGTACTCTTTGAAGTTCTATACTTCAGTACTCTAGTACCTAGTACCTCTAGTACTCCTAGTACTCTAAGTACTCTAGTACTCTAGTACTCTAGTACTTCTAGTACTTCTAGTACTCTAGTAATTCAGATATCTCTAGTACTTCTAGTACTTGATTTCTAGTACTCTCTAGTACTTCTAGGACTTTAAACCAGTTCAATTTTCAAATAACATTCAAAATTTGCACCTTAAATAGTGAATTGCTTTAAAAAAACAAGCAACATGCCTCTTTTTCAAATTTTCTTGACCAACTCCCATCACTCACAATTTCAACAATGACAACTCAAAGATTGCCCAAAGATTTTCAAACTCAAGCCTTAATTACGATAAAATTTCCCCTCAAATTCCTCTCTTTAGGAGAAAACAGAATTCGCATCGTTTCTTCCTCATAACTTCACTTCAAAAATGTTTTCGAGTACATTTCATAAATCATTCCTATAACCATCCATCCACTTCTCGATGTTTCAATCACTGCCTACTATCTTCATTCCCGTACATTCAATTTCCTCAATTTCTCCACCAATCTCTCACCATCTGACAACTATCCGATCTCTCCAAAAGATCACGTGTTTTCCCAAAATTTTCCACCTCTCTTTTTCCAAAGCCATAACTTTTTTTTTCAGGACTTTTCCTCTCCTTGAATCTTCTCTATTTTCTCATTTTCTTTTTCTCTAATCTTTCTACTGTCTCCATTCTCTTTTTCTCAAAATTCCCCTCTCTACTCTCTCCAACTTCTCTTTGTTCTCTAAATGGCTTGTTTGGCAGAGTGCCAGTGTGGGCGCGTCCGATTCCACCGATGAATCCAAGGGGGGAAACAAAAAGGGGTCGAGTTCTATCCCCTTGGCAGTTTGCCCTCAATTCTAAGAGAGAATAGAGAAAGGAAAAGTCTTTTCTCTCTCTTCTTCTCTCTCCGCTGTGTTGTGCGAGATGGTGTTGCGACCATTGTGTTTATGAGAAGTGAGGCGAAAAGAAGAGAGGAAAAGATTGGTCTCCCTCCTCCTTCCATACCCTTATTTCACCTAGATGTACCAGAGCGTCCCCTTTAGATCACTCCCCTTCACCCCTCGCCCGAACCTCGTCTCCTTCTCGGAGGCTCAACCCTCCCTCCGACCCAACAAAGATTCATCATTATAAAGAAAACGGCTTCCGATAAAGAGAAAAGGGAAAGAAGCTATCTAAGTGGTGGAAAATATTGAAAAGAGTAGAGACGGAATGGATGTGGTTTCACCTAGATGTACCAGAGTGCCCCTTTTTTAAGTTAATGGCATCATTTTCTTCATGGTTTACTTGGTTGGGATACTTTTGGCCAGCTCACATCAGTGTACGAAACGTCTGGGATCGGGCCGAAAATTTGGAGAATTTTCAAGTGATATTAAAGGGAGGTTGAATGGACAATTCAATGCTGAAGGAGTCGCGGACAAGACTTGGGTCAGATCGTATTGTTCTTCCAGTTTGACTGCTGTTTGGTTAACGCAATGGTTTAGCGGGATGGAGAATTTTAGCAAAATAAGAAAATTCCTCGCTCACCGCTCCGTCTTTTTTACGGATTCCAAAAGGGAAGCATGTTATACCAAAGGGGTTTACCAGATGGAGAGCGATTATGTGCGCACACAAAGAACACCTTTTTCTTCAGTGACTTTTCTTTTGCTTTGTAGATGGTATAAAAAGAATATATCGAGCTAAAAGCTTGTATTTGGGGCTTTTCGGGGAATCATTTGGAGCTATTTATTTTTATTAAGTCTGCCCATCTTTTACTGTTTCTTAAATAAAATACAATATAAATAAATCTTTCCAAATCTCATAATTCACTTTAGGAAATCAATAAATTTTTCCTCTACGAGGGAAAACACCACATTTTGCATTACGCCTCAGCAACTCGAGAACCGGTATTGCGACCCTGGAAAGAAAAATTTTATTGTTAGCCATGTCTTTTAACATAAAAGTTTTATTACAAGTTTTGAAACATCATGAATCTATTATTGTTTAAGCGAGTCAACATTGTCGAAGTACCCAATATCCACAATGTTTCGTTCAAGTATTGAAATCTGACTTTCGCATCTTATCCCCTAAACAAATCGATAGTTTTGTCAAAATTTGTATATCAACTTCTCGGGGATAAAGATGGAGAAGACCTGAAACATTAACAAATGAGAAAGCCTAACAAAAATTATTACGCACAAGTCGAATAGAGTGATTGAGAAGTTACAATGATGATTGGATAAAAGCTCATGGTATCAAAATAACAAAATAACCCAAATGGTACAAGTAGGAAAGGAAAAAACCGGTATTTTGGGACTTAACAAAAACAGAAATAACTAAACTAATCTTGCTTTCTTCACAACGGAAAACAATTTGGCTGCCTATTTTCTATCCTAATCAACGAAATATGGAAAATCACAAAATGCCTAACAAGAAAAAGGATAAATATTTACATTCTCGATTCCATTCCTCCATTTACACTGATCGTTTCGCCGGTCAAATAGGAAGATCTGTCGGAAACCTGGAATTTGTTTTTGACTCTGATCTAATCAATTTATAATACAAATGGATTTTTGATTTTGGTTCTAAGATTTGGAAGTTCAGCATCTTACAATTAGCTCAATATCCTTTTCTTATGTATTTTGAAAGGGAACAAGCCTTAATTCCTAATCATTGTAAGTCTAACAATTCAATTATTTAACAGAAATCATTGTCAGTATTGCAAACTACTTATTCAGCTTATCTAAAACGCTTAGGGCTAAGCTTTGAATCTAACCAACTTATATCAAAAAGTGAATTTCTTTAGAACTATCAAAAAAAAACTAAACTAACTACGTAAAACTAGTGCCTTATGTAAACTTTACAAGAAATGCGAGACAGCCTGGCGGCGGTTTCCCCAGCTCCGCCAATCC